CTCTCTCTCTCTCTCTCTCTCTCTCTCTCTCTCTCTCTCTCTCTCTCTCTCTACAATATCAGGTGCAAGGGCAAGGTCAATCACTTCGTCAGCAAGAAGAACAGGATCGTCATGGTTAACATGTCCCTCTCGCTCTCTCTCTCTCTATATAGATTACAGCAGGACAATGTACCAACACTCTGCGACCTTCTCCTTTGCACGGCTACAAACACCGTTTCACTCGCCTGTAGCTACCATCGTCTCTGTCACAATCACTACAGTGACATGGTTTCTGCATCCATGTGTGCAGAGGACTGTCCCTCCGTTCCTAACTGCAGGCACCCTCCGCATCCGGACACTATATGTCCATTTTGTGGCCATTGGTGCTATACTGAATGCATGGTCTTTTGTGGTGACCATTCTTCCTTCATTTTGACCTGCAATTGACTTGCCATTTGTCGGGGGTGTATGGTGGGCATGCTCAATGCCAGCCGTTGTGATTGTCCGTAGTGCTGTACTGAGAATGCTCAGCTAGGTCTTCAATGTGTTCATCCACCTCATCCTTACAATGTATGTCCTCTCTATTGTCAAGGACATACTCGTTCTTGAGCCTTTTCTTATCCTCTTTTGCCTTCATCTTCACTCCACACTCCGCAGTTTCCTTTACTTTCCCTTTATCAGTCTTTGTGTGTCTTCTCTCCATCACTCTTCCCTGTGTTTATCCCCTCCCCCTTCACTCTGCCTCTTTCTCACAGCATACAAGTGGCTGGCTGCTTGCGCGCAGCTTCATCAACGTGGTGAGCCTTGTACGTGAGAAGCACAGTGTAGGGGGAGTTAAAAGAAGAATGAGAAATTGAATGGGTTCAATGTGCCCTTGTTTTTTTTTTTTTTATCCGTTCTTTCACAAAGTGCGCTCTTTTAGCTCATAGCTATGTGACAATGTAATATTTTGAATCTATAGATTATGTTAATCTATCCCGACACTTATAGAAATCTCTATTTGGCACCCAACATTCGGCCGATCCGGGCCGCCCACAGTCTACCGGCCGACGGCCCAGATTTCCGCGCGATCTTAAGACTTTAAGACTTTAAGACTAAGATTGCGTGGCGATCCAGACCGTCCACCTCGTCGGACGGCCTGGATCATCGCGCGATCTTGAAGTCTTAAGATCGCAGGACGATCCGAGCCATCGGGCCGGTGGGACCTCGGGTGGTCTGGATCGTTGCGGCCGTTGAAAAGAGGGTCCGTCGTAAAAGAACTGCCCTGGCACCTGCTGGCCATTGGCCATTGCAGGGCCAACGCTATGGCCCTGCTCGCGTCGAACGGCCTCTGACTTCGCGCCATCGACCCGTGACTTGCAAGGCTGTACTCTGAGGTGACTCTGTCTCTGCCCACCTCCCCTCCGTCTCCGCCCACCTCCCCTCTGCCTCCCCCC